AATATGAATTGTCATAAAATAAATCAATTAAAATATGGATTATCTTGAAAAACATGAACGAATAATAGTATAGTCAAATGATTGTTTGACAATGACATTAATGCATTTAGGAATATTTGATAGATAATATGAGAACATATATAAGTAATTGTAAGTGATGACTATGAAGTGGATGCACCAAACAATTTGTAAACCAACCGACACACTGTATGGACATGAGTGGAAGATGGCTTGATGTTTTTATATTGTGTTTGTCTATGTTTGTCTAAGAAAATAATAAAAAAAGTTTTTTTAAAAAAAGAAGAGCCTGGACAGCCCCATGTCAGAAATGGTATAGGCGTCTCCTCGCTTGGGCAGGGGAGGGGGTTGGACTGGATGACCTCCAAGGTCCCTTCCAACTATTGTTACTCTGAGTTTTCCCGAGCAGTAGAGAAACGCTTCGTTTAAGGGACTTTTTTTCCCTTATGGAGAGTCAGCATGGAAAATAACTTTTTTTCTAAAAATAAATAAGTAAGTAAGTAAATAAATAAATACATAGTGGAAGATTTGAAGCGCCTCGGGCAAATTTCGCCCACGCTGAACCCCAAGATTTATTCCACAGGGATTTCTCGGTGCCCACTCCCCACCGTCGATCCCCCCCAGGCGAGAAAAACCCATCTGTGCTCTTTTCCCGGCCGGCTGAGAAACTCCGCCAACCGTTTGGAAGTGGCTGTTGGTTGTTGTCTGCGACATAGCGATGAGTTAGCACCCCCGCCCGACGATGCCATCCGCCTGATTAACCTTAATTAGACAGATCCGGGCGACAGCCGGGGAAAAAAACCACTACCCAGGCCTATTGTCTAATTAGCAGGTCTTTTCCCAAGGACCGAAGCAACAGCGGCACCTGTGATGGGCGCTGGGTTGCGATGCCAAACTTTGCAGTGCACACGGACAAAAAAAGAAAGTCCAGGACTTCGAAAAAGTCCAGGTGCCCCCTGGGAAAAAAAAAAAAAGGAAAAGCGCCTTTGGGACAAGCGTGAATTGGAGGACTGGGAATCTCTACCGTCTTTTAGCTACACAATTTGGGACGAAACCCCTTGGAATGGTTTGGGAGCAGGCATAGGATTTCCAGAGGAGGAAAAAAAATTGCAGACTACAGGAAACATTGGCACCACTCAGGTGACCTTGAGGACCCAGATAAATATCCTAAGCGGCCTCAATGACCCTCTAAAAGGATGCAAATGACCAGGAATAATAAATCCTTCCATTCCCCCTCAATCAGAGCTGAAGAAGCTTCTTGGATGAGAAGTGAAACGTCTTCAAAGAATGTCCAGTTGTCTCTCAAAGCATCTTTGAGACAACCAGGACTTGGATGATGAAGAATTTTTACAGGCTTTTAGTTATGCAATTTGGGATGAACGCCCTTGGAATGGTGTGGGTGTAGGAATAGATTTCCAAATAAAAAATAAAAAATTGCAGCCTACAGGAACCATTTGCACCACTCAGGAGACCCTGAGGACACAGAGAAACCTCCAAGTGGCCTCAATGACCCTCTAAAAGGATGCAAATGACCAGCTGTCTGCAAGGAATATAAATCCTTCCTTTCCCCATCATCCAGTCAGAGCTGAAGAAGCTCCTTGGATGAGAAGGGAAACATCTTCAAAGGAAAACCAGAAAGTCCAGTTGCCTCTTGGGAAAAAAGCACCTTTGGGACAACTATGACCTGGAGGACTGGGAATCGCTAACAGATTTTTTTTTGCACACGCGCAAAAGTAGAAATTTGACAGCCGTTAAGATGGAAGCGTCAAAAGGCAGGAAACGGCATCACATTTTTGGGCCTGCAAGGATGGCAGTGAAAGTTGATGCCTGTATTGGGAGGGTAGAGGGGGAATATGACAGAACATAGAATCACAGAGCTGGAAGGGGGGCTTTAGAGGTCTTCTAGTCCAACCCCCCTGCTCCAAGCAACAAACCCTCCCTCCCTATGCAGGGAGTCCTGGGCTTACAATCTTTCATTGAGTATCCATTCAGAGAGACAAAAAGGCACTTAAAAAAAAGGAATTTGCAGGCGTTTTTCACACTTACCACCGCTGTAGCACCATGATCATATGATCAACATTTAAATGCTTGGCTACTGGCATGGACTCATGACAGTTGCAGTGTCCCGGGGTCACTACTCTTTAACAACTTCGTAAACAAAGGCCGTAAAATGAGACAGAAATCCACTTAACCGTCTCACTTAGGAACAGAAATGTTGGGCTTAATAAGATAAGGAATAAAGGATGGAAACTGAACATGGAGAGAGATTCAACCTGGAAATAAGGAGGAATTTTCTGACAGTGAGAACAATCAACCCTTGGAACAGAAGTTGCCTCCAGAAGTTGTGGGAGCTTCATCCCTGGAGGCTTTCAAGAAGAGACTGGACTCTCATCTGTCAGAAATGGTGTAGGGTCTCCTGCTGGGGAGGGGGGTTCGACTAGATGACCTCCAAGGTCCCTTCCAACTCTATTATTATTCTGTTATTCAGAAGTTGTGGCAGCTTCATCCCAGGAGGCTTTCAAGAAGAGACTGGATGGCCATTGGTCAGAAATGATATAGGTATATGGGAAGGTGGCTGGTTTGAAAGTAAATAAAGACAAAACAAAGATTTTGACAAAGAATATGTTGCCAAGACAAAAGGAAGAACTGGTGGATGTATTAAAAATCCAGGTCATGAATAAGATCAAGTACTTGGGGATACATTTGACAGCAAGATGTAGTACATTAAAAGAGAATAATTATATCAAACTTAAGCAGCAGATAGTGCTAGATTTGGCGAAAAGGGAAAATTTACAACTGTCATTAATAGGGAGAATATCAACAATCAAGATGAATATATTACCCAGAATTTTATATTTGTTCCAAACAATTCCAATTAGGCTTGGAAAAGATTATTTTGAAGATTTAAATAAAACTGTGTTGAAATATATATGGCAAGGTAAGAAAGCGAGAATAAAATTAAAACTTCTGCAAGGTGCTAGAATAAGAGGAGGATTTGGTTTGCCTAATTGGGAGTTGTACTACCAAGCTACAGATTTGATGTGGGTTAAGGAATGGATCGCATTAAGAAATGCTAGATTGTTGACATTAAGAAGGACATGATCTGTTGTTGGGATGGCATGCTTTGTTATGGTATAAAGGAACTAAAACACAGGGGTATTTTAGAAGACATTATATACGGGAGTCTCTGTGGTTAAACTGGGAGAAGACTAAAAGGTAATGTTATTTGAAAATTTCAGTCTGGCTATCGACTATTGAAGCATTTTCCTATCCTATAATATACAAAAAGGAACCAACAGTTAGATATGGTGAAATATTGAATGAAAAGGGTGAACTTAAATCTATGCAAAAATTAGAGGAACAAGGTATAAAGATGAATTGGTTTTCATATGTGCAAATACACTCAAGGTATGACAAAGATTCCAAAATGGAAGGTTTCTATGATAAATTGACTGATTTAGATAAGATCTTGACAGGTACTGATGAAAAGGTGATTTAAAAAATTGTATGGATATTTATTAGAAATTAAACTAGAAGAAGAACAAGTTAAAGAAACAATGATTTGAAACCAGAGATATTTTTATTGGGAATTTTACCTGAAATATATAGTAAGGAATTGAAATATTTGATTGTAAATATATTAACAGCGGTAATCGAAGACTACGAAGTGGAAACACAAAACAATTTGTAAACCAACCAACACACTGTATGTATATATATATATGGAAGATGGCTTGATGTTTTGATGTTGTGTTTGTCTATGTTTGCCTTAAAAACAACAAAACTTTAAAAAAAATGATATAGGGCAGTGATGGCTAACCATCATTGTCGTCACGTAACCTTTCGTCATGTGCACCATGCGCCTCTGCGTGTGCAACCCCTGCTGCGCACATGCCTCTGCACATGCGTGCACACACCACCCCTCTGCGCATGCGCAGCAGATCTCCGACAATCAGCTCTGGCTGGCAGGGGGCGTGTGCGCATGCACAGTGGATCTGTTCCAGGCGAAATGGTTCGCATGCTGGCAGAAATGGCTTTGCGTGCCACTTTCGGCACACGTGCCATAGGTTCGCCATCACGGAGATGGGGGTTTTCTGCTTGGGCAGGGGGTGGGGTTGACTAGATGACCTCCAAGGTCCCTTCCAACTCTGTTAAATCTGTAAAAAAAAAATTGTGGTTGTAATTCGAGGACTGCCTGGACTGTGCTTTCGATCTCTCCGCGAGGGTGGAAGTTTAGGTTTCTGATAACAGATAGTCAGAGTTGGAAGGGACCTTGGAGGTCATCTAGTCCAACCCACTGCCCAAGCAAGAGACCTTACACCAGCCTCAGTTTCCCGCAGTTGCAATGGGCAGAAGAGGGAAAGGTTGCAAGGGGAAAAAACGTGACCTTAAAACGAACCGGAAACCTCCTAGAATTGGGTCTACGTGGCTGGCATGTTAAATAGTATAATAATAACAGATAATCAGAGTTGGAAGGGACCTTATAGGTCATCTAGTCCAACCCCCCTGCCCAAGCAGGAGATCTCCACCTCTGAAGTGCAGGTAGAGCCTCCAGCCCAAAGCCCCCTCTACCTCAAGCCCAGCTGGCTGAAATCTTGCATCACCCTTCCGCGCCTTTGCAAAGGCGTGGGGTTTGGGGTTTTTTTTTTTTTGCAAAGCGAGGCAATTCAATCCGTCCGAACCCGCAGCCTGATCCCTGGGACAGCTGGCTTGGAATCAAGCATGCCAGTTCCCCTGGCTACGTTGCCGTCACAGCCGGAGCAGGACAACCTATAACCTTTCCTGATCTTTCCATGGGAATGGAGGTGGGGGGGTGGGGAGAAGATTAAGAAAGTCTGTTGGGCAGCCCCCTCCTCCTCCCCACCCCCTACCCCTTTCCTGGGGGAAACCTGATCCTCGGGCTAAATCGAGGCCGATCCTGCCATCCTACTGCCACCGGCGGCTGGCTGGAAATGGCCAAAACAAGGGGGGAATTCCTTTACCTGCAATCTCGGGCCCGGGACGCATGTCACACCTTGCCCGGATGGGAGAGGCAGGTGCGTCCGTCCGTCTGCCATCCGGTGAGGCTTCCCCCAGGTTGGGAAGAGCGAATGTGGGAAGATATCCGACGAGAGGTGTAAGACCAAGTCAGCAACTCCGCTGGGCACCGTCCATGCCAGCCAGTAAACACTAAAAAAAGCCACAGCCTCCTGGTTGCCAGCACATTGCTTGGCTGGAGCTTCTGGTGTAGTGTGTGTGTGTGTGTGTGTGTGTGTGTGTGTGTTTTTCCTTCCTTGCGGTGCCCTGAGATGAACACAACACCCGGGTGGGTTCTTTTTTTTTGGCACCCGGCGTCGGTCATGTGGAACCCAGGCGATGCCAAGGGGGGGGTGGAAACAGCCCTTATCAACGACGAAGGAGAAGGTTGAGAAGGCTGGTGTGCAACCCTTCCCTGGTTGGAAGCTGGGTCTAGGATTGGGAGAAATAGGGTTCAAGGCTTGCCCCCCCCCCCTCATAAGGAGGGTCTCCAAAGAAAATGAGGCTGGGGAGAAGAAATGAGGAGCCCCCTGCCCCGAATGGAAGGGACAAGCTTAGTGGTACACATATATAAAAAGAAACGGGACGGCAAAAGGTATTTATAGCCAGGCAGGTGCCTCGCAATGCTAAATTAATCGGTGGACTCCCAGAATCCCCCAGCCAGCCAGTTGGTAGACCATTTCATAGAGACGTCCTCAATTTATAACCAGAATCGAGCCCCAAGTTTCCATTACTAAGTGAGGCAGTTAAAAGTTTGGCTCCGTGTTGGCAAACCTTTCTCTTTCTTTCGAGGTCGTGAATAAATATCGGCCTTGTTTTGTATCGCAAGTTCCATTTAGTTTACTTTGCTTTATTGTCCTTGCACCTCGTCCCATGAAATCCGACACCATCTTCGGTGCACGTCACGACCGTGAAAATAAACACAAACACGCATCCTTCGCGCTCCATACTTTGAACCTAAAATCCCCAACGCCACTTCGACCGTATATATTGAACGGTGTATTTTCAGTGCTGGGGTTTTTTTTAATTTTGTCTCCTTTATTGTCCTTGCATCTCATAGAATGAAATTAAATACCATCTTCAGCGTACATTAGGACGGTGGAAATAAACGCAGACAGAGATCCTCCACATCCAATACTTTGAATTGAAAACCCTTTGATATTGCAGTAGAATTAGAAAAAGCCATGCGCATCCTTCACCCTCTGCACATTGAACCGAAAAGCCCCCACATTGCACCAATACTGCACTATATAGTAGAATTTAATACAATTACTGCCCTGGGATAGAAGCTGTTTTTCAGCCTGTTTGTCCTTGTTTGTATTAATCTGTACCGTCTGCCAGATGGTAATAGTTCAAAAAAATGGGTGCCGAGGATGAGATGGATCTTTGAGGATGTTTGGAACTTTCTTAGGGCATCAGGAGCTATAAAGCTCTTCCAAAGAGAGGAGAGGGCAACCCAGGATCCTCTGGGCAATGATGTTCCCCCTCTAGGAGAGTTTGCACTGATGATGGTACCTAGGTGGGTCCTGAAACATTTGTAAGTTCAGAGAGCATCAAAGACCCCATACTCATCATTCTTCTTCTTCTTCTTCTTCTTCTTCTTCTTCTTCTTCT